GTGAATTTCCTCCTACACAATGGTATGGAGGTTTCACTTTGGTTTTTGATCCCGGAATCCATGATGTAACAACTTTGCTTAAAAGATTTGGACTTCTCAGATATCAAATCAGAAGTAAAGACATCAATTCTGGAATTGATGATTTTTTGATGACTTTACCGGTGGGCTATATACAAGAGACAGAGAAAAATCGTTTCTTCCTCGTGATGATGCATCTAAATCTGCAAAAACAGAACCTTCGAATTATGGATTCTCAAATGCCACACACGTGGGTTGTTGGTAATGATGATGTCGATCATGTCGTGGGCTCAAACACATCACAAGTTGGTTCTTTAAGAGAAGAAACCATGAACTTGTTATTGTGTTCAGACCTATGGTCATCTCGAGTAATATTTAGGGATTTGTCAAAATCTGGTAAGGCGATCTCTTCGAAGAATACAGTCGAAACTACTACAATGGTAATTTTATTTGTGATTTTGTTAAAGAGAATTACAGAGTCGAGTTCTTTCAGAAAGACCTTGGTACGGACGCTTTGGTACCACTGTGTCTACATTTCAGAGTTCTTTATGGACACATCAGGTTTAAAGCTACGGTTTGCAAAAATAAAGTTCAGCTACAAGTTGCTGCATGCCAATCGTAACAGAGAGAAATCAAATATGAAGTTGGACAATAACGGATCTTATGGTCGGTTAGCGAGTAAGACTACTCTTCGGAAAGCATCGTCAATCTCCCTTCTGCTGTATTTTTCTTAGTGTATGGCACATACATCTGCGTATGTAATAATTGTACTCAATTAATTCTGTAAATGACTATGTAATAACTCTTTTAAATCAATGAAAGTATGTTTTTGCCGAAAAAAAAAAAAAAAAGATGGAGTAGAATATTGAATCTATTCTCATCTATTTAGGGTTCACTGGTTTGATTTTTTTGTTTGTACGAAAGATGTAGGGTTCATCACATTGATTTTTTTATATTTGAATTCGTTTTATCCATAAAATAATTGAAAACAGTACTTTTTTTTTAACTTAAACTAATAAACAATCATAAACATTTTGTGAAGATTTTATGAAGATATACGAATTCGATGATTTGGGTCAAAATGCAAAACCATATATTTCGATATGTTTTATATAAAATAATGTGAAAGTATAAGTACAAAACATATAGTAAATATTTCTATTATATATGACTGTATATAACAAATCTTAATCTTATATACCACTTATTTCATAAATATATATCCTCTTGTTAATTAATTGCTTGTGTTAATTATTGATACCTTAAATATTGAAAAGAAGGATATATAATTAACACCAATGGTACTATTTGTAATTATTTAGTAAATATAAGAGTTCTATGATCAAATAATGAAAAGGCAAACAAAACATTCGAAGAGATCCGGAAGCCTTATTAGGATTAGGATGACACCAAAAACTGAGGAATATGCACATAAAAATGCACATGAAGAGATGTGGTACATATAAAACTGATCATGCAGAATTTGGAAGATCTAGAGAAGGAATTCCACAAAAAGGAGTAAGTAACTGGTTGTTACAAGTTCAGTAATTTTAGGTTTTGCATTAGCTTGTGAATGTATAACTTTGAGTTTGATCATCTGCTTGAATTTTGTTCAAATTTTATGCCAAAAAAAAAAAAAAAATTAGTAAATAAATAATTTTTTTGAGAATCTCTCTGAGCATGACACGTTAACATGATACTCTTGTAATTTAGACATAAGAGTAATGTTTTTTTTTATTAATAGTGTTTCTCAATTAATATATAAGAGATAATACAATTTTTATTAATCATGGATTTAAAATTAATATTGAATGACTTTAGATATGGTTGGATTTTGATAGAGTTTTAAATTCTTATGTCTTACATCTTATTATATAAAGTATGGTTTTCAAAGTTAATAACTCACGAGATCGTGACACGTGTCAAATATTTCGATCTCAGATTTTGCCATGTGTCAAATAAATTTTCCATTTTAATAAAAAGGTCAAAAGATAATTATAAAAAAATTATAAATGTAAACAGTTTAAAAATGTAAAAAGCTAATTATAAGGAAATTGTACCTATATTTCCATAAGAGATTTTGCCATCTAGCAACCTAAATTTTTGTTTTTAACAACTTAAAAATTGTTAAAAGATTTATAACAAAATTCACTACAAAAAAAAAGAGAGTATTGCATCACTTAAATTACATCACAAAACAAAATGATATTATTTTAAATTACTTATTTATAAATGAAACAAATATATATGACTTAACATCAATTATATTAACTGATGTTATAATTAACTAATTTTACATCAATTAAATAAAATTGATTGAATTTTTATTAGTTTGCATCACTTTTAAAAAACTGATACAAAATATATATTTACATCATTTAGATCATTGATGTATCTATTAATATTTGGTAAAATCATTTCTCAAAATGATACAAATCTTACATCAATAGAAACTGATGTAAAATTGTATTAAGGAGGCATTTTTAAATTGTCCCACATCGACAACTTCTTAAGGAGGGATAAGAATCTATCCTTTATAAATACGTTAACCCATTTTCCAATAATTGAGTATAGTGGTCTCACGAAAACTTGAGTCAAATAATTTATTTGAAAGATATTGTTGACGTTTAGATTTATTCTTAGAATACGATTATAATTAAAATAATTTTCTTATTAATTAATAAAATAATTATTATAAATGTTACAATTATTAAAATCACTAATGAAATTTGACACTAGTTTTAGTATCAATTATTTATAAATGATGAAAATATCAACATCATTTATACAAAGTGATTTAAAAAGGTAACATCATTTTTTGTAATTGATACAAAATTAACATCAATTATAAAAACTGATGCAAATATTATGTATAATTACATCAGTTGTCAACAAAATGATGTAAATTATTTGCATCATTAATTTTTAAATCATTTACTTAAGTGATGTAAAATTCTTTTACATCAATTATAAGTAATACAAATATTCAAAATAAGTGATATAAAATGATCTTTTTTGTAGTGATTATAAATTTAAACAGTTAGATCATAGTAAGAAAACTATACGTATATATAAAAAAATTATATTTATATTTTTCATAAAAAACGAAATTATAAAATTGTGCTAAACATTTTATGTATAAGTTACTAATTGTACAAGAAAAAAAATTTAAAAATAGAAAAAGGATTAATGAAATTATACAATCAGTTATTATTCCTATAAGAAAAATGATTGTAAATAATCAGCTTTATATAAACAATAAGTTGTCTCATATTTTTTCACCAAGCAAACTAATTTCTTCACACACCACCGTTGTTTGAACTTCATTCTATTGGTAAAACTTTTGTTTTTGGTTATAAAATTTTTTTTAGGATAGTATAAGTAACTAATATTTGACTCAAAAATAATTAAGGGGATAGCCATGAGTTAAACATTTTTTGGAAACTAATGTTTTTCAGATATGTGAAAATTCAAAATAGCTCTCAAACAAAAGACAAACATATAACTGCATATTCTAATTTAGAGAAAAAACATGAAATAAATACTAATAACACGAAAAATCTGAAGAAAAAAATATCAATATTAGAATTCTGACGACGAAATAGAGACATCCAACAATTTCATTTAATAAAATAGCATGTCATACTGAAAGAAATAGGAGTAGCATGTGATTGTTGTGGAGGTGATGAAGGTGGTGGTTGATGGTTACGGAGGTGGTGATTGGGTGATTTTAAAAAATAACATGATCATGTAAAAATTACATGCATTTATCATTTGTTGTAAATATATCATGTCAATTATAAAATCAAACACTGTGAATCACGATGGTTTTTTTAAAATAGCATGTGATATTCATACCCAAGGAATATATGGCAATAGAGGCAAATTAAGAATTATAAATGGCGATGGACATAGACTAGAGTTGTTGTCGGAGAGGCTTGGCTTGATGTCGGAGAAAATAAAGAAAGTAGAGTGATAAGAGAACTTGAGGAAAGAGAGAAGAAGCAATAAAAGTGGTGTTGGTGTTGATGACGGTGGTTCAAGCTTGGTGGTGGTGGCGGCGATAAATGTTGATGAAGGTGGTGGATCGAAATTAGCTAGATTCGGTATTGATGGTGGTGGTGATTGTGATAGTAGTGAGATTCATTTGTGGTGGTGGGTCATAGTAGTGAGACTCGGTGGTGATGTCCGACGAATGGAAGAAATGGAGATAGGGGAAAAAAGAGGGAGAGAAGGAGAGGAGTTCAAGCAAAAATAAGAGATTTCTAATGAGAGAAATAGAGAGATTTGAGAATTTCTCGCCGGCGAGCGGAAGGAATAAAGAGAAAACGAAGAAATGAGTAATATGAGCCAAAAATTGACAATGCCACGTAACTATATAATTTTATCTTTTCTTATTGTCACAGTTTATTTCCATCTTGCCCACATTGGAATTATAAAGTGCAATACACTCTCCGGATGGATATAAATAACTTATTAAAATTCAATAATACAACCTATGAACAATTATGACTTCATAAATTATAATAAGCAAAAAATTATATAATTTTATAAATAGGCCAATATTTATTTTAGATGATTTAATAATTAGTATAACATAACTACAAATAGAGTTTTATACTGCGCAATATGTATTATAAAAATATATTTAAAAAATAATTAAAAAGCTGCATTATCTAAAATATATATGTTTATATAATTTTAGTTATGATTAACAAAATAAAATTAAAAGTTAAGAGTCATAATTTCGACCGGCAACCTGTTCAACGCACGGGTCCATATCTAGTTAATCATAAATTGAACAATGATGAATTTTTAATTATTTTTTCTTTAGTTAGGAAAAATTCTATATCTAACAACATGAGATTGTGGAAGACATTTCAGAATTTTACATCCATTAAAAATGGATTTTAAAAAAAGTCCCAAAGATTAATGTCTTCAGAAAACACTTTTGAGTATTCTTTTGGTTTAATTCGGTTTAGAAAAACCGATTGCTTCTTTCCTAAATCGGTTTAGAACTAAAGATTGAGAACCAAATCGTATAAGCAAAGAAGCTAGAAGAAAATTTCCCGACGAAAGAAACTCGTTCTCAATCTCTGATTACTACTCTCTCTCAATCGAATTCAGATTCTCAGCTTCTGGGTTTTTAAAAAATCGAATCTTTTTCCGCTACGTTACTTTGTATCTGTCTCTGGTAGCTTAAGGAATTGGTTTTAAACACTTTTAGGGTTTTTGTGGTTGTGGGATTTTGAAGAACAATGTCGTCTTCTTCAGTAATTAAACCAGAAGACGTTCTTGAACATCTTATGAACGATGGTACCATCGATGCTCTTCGATTAAGAATCATCAATCAGCTCAAAGGCAATGTAAGTTCTTTAATTTGGATTTGATTTCAAAGTTTCGATCTTTTTGTTTTTTGTGATCATAAAGTTAATGTTTTTGTTGTTGTTGTGATTGTGTGAACAGGAAGAGTTAAAGAGCACAACGATTAAAATGGCAGAAGAGAGTAAAGTTCTGAACACACCTGGTGCTGAGAAACAGACTAAAAGAGAACTCTTTGATGCTCTTCGTCAAGAACTCGAGTAAAGTTTTCTCCTTTTATATATCTCAACTCTTAGTACATTGATTTTTGAAAGCTGGTTTCTGTGTATTATGGTTAAGTATTTTGCATATAAAGAAGAACCCTTTGTTTTTTGATTCTTGCAAGTTAATAGATATTCAGTAGTTTACGAGTATATATGGTTATCGGTTTTCATGAACTTCGCTTCACACTCATAGCTATAGCCCCCACATACCTCTAGAGCTGATTGAATATTATAAACCATTCATTGGAGGTGCAGTATCAATCTTGTTTTGCTTCACATTCTTAGAGCATTTATGTATATTGATTTTCAATAGTTCTATGTTACATTCTTAGAGCTGATTGAATGATATAGGAAATTTATGGTAGGTGATATGTATAACTGTTTATATATGGATATCGGTTTTACTTAATTCTGCTTCATACTCTTAGCTATAGTCCCCAGCTTATTGTAGAGCTGATTGAACGATATAAACCATTCATCGATCTTGTTCTGCATACTGCATTCATATTCTTAAAGGATTTATGGATATCTGTTTCCCATAGCTCTATGTTACATTCTTAGAGCTGATTATATTATATAGGAATTTCAATGATAGATAATATGGTTATCGGTTTTGCATAATTCTGCTTCTGCCCTTGGCCATAGTGCCCAGCTAATTTTAGAACTGATTGAATAATATAACCGTTCGTAATAGGTATGAATTCCTTGGAGGTGTAGTATCAATCTTGTTCTGCTTTACATTCTTAGAGCATTCATGGGTACTGGTAGTTGCATAACTTTACTTCATACTCTTGGCAACAGCCCCCACCTAATTTTAGAGCTGATCGAATAGTTTAAACCACTCACAATAGGTAATGTTCTATATTCTTTGGAGGTGCAGTATCGATCTTGTTCTGTGTCACATCCTTAGAGCATTTATGGATATCGGTTTCTTTTCCATAATTCCGCGTCACATTCTTAGAGTTGATTGAATAATATAGGCCATTCGTCAGAGCTACCTGTATGCATATACTAATATACACAGTTACTCGTCTGTTTTATTTTGTTGTTGGAAAAAAATTGTGTTGGTAACATATTTACCATTGTTTGCTGTTGTTGTCTTTGTGGGCAGAGGTCCAGTGCTAGAGAAGGCATCAAAATCAGTTTGGGATCTGATTCTTGAGAAGGATGGATTAGGGAAAGAGATAAACGAAACAGTAGAACGTGTGTTTTGTCATCTAAGCGGGCAAGAACCGCCTTTTTATTCTTCATCAAACGTGGAGAAAACCCCGATGGAGATAGAGAAAGATACGGAGATGAAGGAGAATAATAGCTCAAAGACAAAACCAAAGAAAAGAAGTCTTAGTGAGGTGAATTCCTCTGACGGTATCGATGAAGTTGCAACGACGAAGAAGAAGCAAGGTGATTCCGCAACTGTAACTTTAGAATCTAAGAAAACGCCTTGAGCCTAAGTTATGATATATTTATTTCTGTTGTTCTGACTCTTCTGATATAGATAGTCTTGGTGTTTTATTGTTGACATTGCTCTTTTCAACTATCTGCAACTCCTTTGTACATCAATTGTTTTTTCTTTTTGTCAACAACTTATATTAATCAAACGAGCCAATCCAAGGAAACATTGTTTACATACGTTACATAATGCGGTTGTAGAACAATTAATTTGAGAATTTATTAAATTTTAGTATGTGAAATAACAAAGATAAAAATATGCCAAAAGTTCAACAAGTCGAAAACCCATGAATCTCAAATCTTCAACATGGATCCATGCAATGCCAATGACAACATTTCTTACAACGTTGGAGACAGTTGTTGTCTTTACCACAAGGTCCAGAGCAAATATAATAACACATCCTCGGGTTCCAGTCCATTCCATTAGTCCCTGTAAACATCATTAAGTAGAAGTCATAACCATCCTTTGTGAATACAATTATCAAAAAACATAAAATGAAAACAAAGTAGGAGGAGAAGCGTATCCGAAGACACAATCAGTACAAGCTATATGGTTCATGTTTCGACAGTCGAACTTGACGTCTGTTTCTTGACTCTGAGTCACAGTCATTGCTCTCACGCCCATTAGTACCAAAGCCATCATCATTGTTATCTTGATCATATTCATACTCGACATCTTCCTTGTTTTTTTTTTTTTTTTATCTTTTGTTAAGATTTATCAACTAGTGAATCAACACATTTTGATTATATATAAATTTATGTATAAAAAGAATCTTATGACCGTTCAGAAAATGGCAGAATTATGATTAATTAGATTGCAACAAATTTGTCAATATATTCTGCAACAAATTTGTTAGAATATATATTCTACAATAAATTTCCAGATCTTTAACATTTCAAGATATATAACTTTTGTGAAACTATAATTTAAAAGTAATAAAGATGGTTATATTATTTACGAAATTTGTAAGGATTTCTACTTTTATAAGACAAATTAAAATTTAAAAAATTTAAAGTAAAGTATCAAAATACATAAAATCATGCACAAAATGAACATCTGAATTTTGGATAAAATTGAAGTAGGGCTTCAAAAAGTGGATTGAGGTGAACGTGGAAACAAATTATCATATATATAAAAGTTGGCCAACTCTCTCCATATGAGTGCCACATCATCACATAAGAAAATGACATGTGTCATTCTACATTACTTAAATAAAAAGATTAGCAAAATTAATTGAGAGAAAATCAAAAGTCTTTTGTTGTGTTAAACTTTCCATTAATCTCACTCTTAATTGATTTTTTAAAAAACTAAAAAATAAAGTAAAAGATCATACTAATGTATTAAGCACTACTTTCATTCTACTCTTTTTATATTATTAAATATTTTTTTCGATGGTCATTACTCGATAATGGCTAAAAATTACTTGTATTGTAGTTTATATATTTGCTACCTATCTTCATGTTACGTTTTCTGAATATGACATTCTCTCTTTTTATTTTTGTGCGTTGATAAATTGGTAACATTGACACACAATTTTTTCCACTTAAGGGTCCTTTGAGACGTTAGACATACCAAAAAATTTAAAAAACGAGACTCTCTCCTATATGGTTGTATGCAAGGAGAGAGATCTAATGTGTTGACTTAAAGTACTAGCATATCATGATGTGGTTGGCGTACTAGATGACGAGAGAGTAAATGGAACAAATAATTGTTTGTTTAGAATTAAGTTAGGTAAATTTCAAACCACATAAGTAACATAATTACATACCATTGTATCAATATATCATATATTATTGTTGTATGTATTCATGATAAAGAAAGATTAGGATCGTAGGTATAGAGATAATCAGGTTTATACATTAAAAACGTGGAATTAATATTTCGAGTCAAAGATGAATCTAATCATAAAAATTATAACTATAGAAAATAGATATGACTTTATCAATTACATAATACCACACACACAAAATAACATAAAGCGCAACAAAAACCATAATCATATTTTTTCTGCAATTTTTAACACAAAATCCCACGCGTAGCATAAGTATTCATCTAGTTAAATATAAAATGTGATAAAAAAATATATTTGTAACTAGTAGGAAAATTGGTAAAACTAAATTCTTAGAAGAAAAACTTAGTAGATAATATTTTAATTAGTTCTTGATGATTAAAATAAATCATAAAATAGAATATCATTTTTAATTAAGTATCTATAAATTATAAAATATCATTTTATAGTTGAAGATTGCGCCGAATATATCTAACTAAAGGGGGTGTATTGGATTAAATATTTTGGAGATACGGTGGAATTTCTATATTTTGGTTTTTTCAGAGATTTGCATAAGTTTTTTTTTAAGATATTTAGGTTGATTTGTTAGATTTTTTATTAAAAATAATTATAATAATTGATGCTTTGATGAGATTTAGTGGGGTGATTTAGGAGGCTTAATTATTAAATTTTGATGATTTTGAGTTATTTTAGAACAAAATGTCAAAAACAAAAGAGAAGTCGACGATAAAAACTAACCAGGGAACATGTTTTTTGTTTCTAGGTGTTTCATAAGTAGAACTTAAGCGAGAAAAATTGGAAAGACTAGTGTTCATGTGATGTTACTTTTTCTTGTTTGAATTGGATTGAAAGTAAACGTATAATTCACAGTTACATTGCTTTTGCTTCTCTTTTTTTGTAATTCTTCTATGCAGAGGCACTATGCTATGTACACTTGGTGATCGATAGAACCTTTTCTCTTTTATTTTACTCGAAATCGATTAAGATTCGTGTCTCATCTTTTAACCAATTGTCTCTGCCCGTTTCTTCGGTGTTTCGATTCTCACATTCATCGTTGCTCTTAAACCTTATTGCAAAACTAAACCTAGAATGCTTTAGATAATTACTAGAAGAGCTTAACGGTGAGTAAGAGAAGCCCAATAAGCTCATTAATTCCATGAAGTAGTGCTAGACCACAACAGCTTCGTCTTTGTCAGTGTCGTTCACCCTAAAAAAACCCAAAGTTTAATCAATTTTGATTATGTGGTTGGATGCATTGGCCTTGCCATAACTCCATTTCATTGTCTATAGTGTCTAGTACTTCCCATTCTGTCCACCTGATTTTGATTCTTTTAATTTGATTTTCTGTTATGTCACCATCTCTTAGACCATTTCTACATGAAGCTTTCATAAGCGAAGAGAAATTCTGGTTGTGCAATGGACATGGGGGCTCTTGCTCGGGTAGTTATGTTTCCTACAACGTTCATGGCATGAAATGAATTGTCAATGCCACAACCGACATCACAATTCCTATAATATATAACTCGTTGGCCCCGGTAGACATCATAAATCACAACCATAATATTTCAATATATACAATTAATCTAAATCTTATAATGACAAAAGAATGTTATAATTTTCACATTGCTTTCACTATTTACGTTCTTTGACAAACATAACTAAAATTGTTAAATAAATTTCTATCAAAGTAAAGTCCTCTAGAAGTATTTTCCATTCACTTCTTTACCTTATATATTTATTTTATCCATTTACAGATTTGGTTATTGCTGAAATATTCAACATGTACATGTATATGAAATTGATCCAATAATTGAAATCTCAAAAGATTTTCAGTATAATTGTGACACCATCAAATGTTTCAATAAATTCTTTTATTTATTAGATTTAAAAATGTTTATGAAACGTAATGTTTTCATGTGAATTACATCCCAACATCAAAGACTCGAATCTAAAAGGACCTCTAAATCTCAAATCAAAGGTTTTGGAGGACAGTGTTTAATACAACGTTGGTAGCAGTCGTTGCTTGGTTGACAAGCGACATCACAATCCCTGAGACAGAAAGCCCGTGCTTGACTTATTTTGCTCTCACCTGAAAATATCATCAAGATAACCATTGTTTATGAACACAATGAGTCTAAAACATGCGATAAAAACAAGAAATTATAGACAAAAGAGGGATAGTTTAGTTACTTCCAGGAAAAGCGCAATGAAGAAGACAATCAGAACAAGCAAAACTTTTGCTGTCATGACATTTAGTCGCGCAGGTTGTTCGTTTACATTCTTCCACCGTCTTTGCACTCACGCCAACCACTAACAAAACCATGATAATCGTTATCTTCATGATACTCACCATTTTTTTTTTTGTTTAATATTTAATACCTTGTCAACTTTTTTTATTCCATACGATATTGTTTTAATTTGTTATACGTGATTTGGTTGTTTGACGTACTTTTCTAGAGCATAATGGGTACTTATTTATAGATTTAGGCAATGGTTGAATTTTAATAAATATATTAATTAGCTGCTATACAAGTCTACATAGTTTTACTATGTTGCTAAATGTTTAAAATACAAATTGGACATTTTTGTTTGAATCACTACATCTTTGACTATCTATAATCAAAATGCTATTATCTCTAATAACTAGAGTTGAATAAATATGTTTGACTTAAAATAGCTTCGGCTATCTTATTTTGGAAATATATTGGGTGTTACAACTTACAAGTTACACGTAAATACGTAATGCGTGAGATAAATTTTAAAAACTATGATAACGAGATATATTGGAAGTATGTATATGAAAACACAAGTATATACGTAAAGATAAATTACATGGATCATCAAGTATCCATATCCATGTACAAACCTGTTTCAGTTCAATGCTAAATTATATTATACTAGATAAGGACCCGGGCGTTGCCCGGGTTGCCGGTCGATATTATCATTTTGTTTTATTTTTCAAAAATACAGCATAAATAAAAGATTTTGTCCATTGAATATTTTTTCTATACATAAAATATATAGTTTTAAATTTTTGAATAGACTTTTCTAATTTATAAATTGAATGTTATATAAGAAGAAAGTAACAATAATTTTTTTTTTTCAAAACAATATGGCATAGTTATTTTTTGATAATATTGTACATGTTTAAATTTTGTAGTAAAAATTTGGCAAGATGCAGTTTTAAACGTATTATTTGAATTATGGAAACCATATACGTAAAACTCTTCATAAAACTGATAGCGATTAATTACCAAATCAAAAAGAGTTCATTCTCATTTAAACAATTAATAACTCAATTATAACTCATTTACAACAACGAAAGAAAGAGACAATAGCCCGATAGGCCCATGTTGTTAATTAAACAACTCGTACAGATTTTCCAAGAAAAGGAAAAATAAAAACGATTCGAAGAAGTAGAATGTAGAAGACGTTTACCCGCTTGATCAGGGCCGGCTATGTTTTGACGCATCATCACCTCCGATTCTCCTACCTATATCTCAGGTTATTTGTTAGCTCGAATCTCATGAAGGAGATGGTTCTATTCTCTTATCCACATCTCCGGTTGGTATGATTTTTTGCAAAAAAATGGGATAGTCTCTTAATCTGGTTCTGTTTTGAATTTCATGTGTTGTTGGGAACTCTCGAATGAATTGTAAGTTTGTTTGACCTTTTTCTGTTATAGGGTTTGGTTTGTGTATTGGTTTTGTCGGATTAGATTGCTTTGAATAGGAGAAAGGATTTATATATTTATTTGTAAATGGAAGTCGAAAGTATGAGTAGCTGTGAGATCCAGAAGCTGCTTCAGGTTTTATTATTGCATATAGTTTATGATGAACTTTTTATTTCGATCGTATTTTATTTCATATTGCAAAGAATGTGTTATTGATAAATAGCTTGAAGTTAATAAAATATGTTATAAAAATAAAACATGAAACCCAAAGCAAACATATAACGTTATTGAAAAGAATTAATGGACAATATATTGTATAGTCGAAACTTTAAATCTGGAAACTAAAACAAACTGTAGATATAACTGTATAAGCTCTGATTTTTATCTCTCTTTGAATATTCTTAATTTCTTTTTATTTGTAGGTGTTATAGAGACTTAAGAGTTTATGTGATAGGAACCAAGGGTAAGTTGAAGATCTGAGTAGCTATGAGATCCAAAAGCTACTTCAGGTTCTTACTAATTATTAGTGGTTTTCTAATGATTTTACGCACTCCAGCATCCATAATGAATCAGCAACAATGGCTACAGAAGTAGAGTTATAGAAATTGTCAAGGAGAATAGCTCATTCTTGAAGTGGACTTCAAATGGCAAATAAATTGCACAGATGGCTGACGACGTAAGCTGTTTTTTGTTTGTGGAATCTTTCTTTTTTTGGTCCTTTTTCATACATATATCCGATGAGAACTATCTATTCTTCTAGATTTTAGTCATATAATTAAACTGGCTTCTATGTTTTCGAGGGATCTCTCAATGGAGTTCATATATGAGAAGAGATGTGTAGGCCAACCGCAGAGACAAAATTTTCATCTTTACAGACGTGCCTAAGGTTAGGAATGGATCATATCGTTTTGACTTGCCTTAATTTTTCATAATGCAGTGAGTGTATGTTTAAGAAAATCTTAAATCTAGAGGTGATGATGATTAAAACATGAAACTCAAAGAAAACATGTACAATCGAAATTACAAATCTGGAAACTAAAAGAATTATAATATTAAAAAACAAACTGTAGATATAACTGTATAGGCTATGATTTTCATCTCTCTATGAGGATCATATGTTGTTGAAAACTTCTTGGTAGACAATATTTTGTAGAACACTGCTATCATAATGTTTTGTCCCAACTTTAAGAATCTGAAGTCCTGCAGTTGTAGTGACTCTTGATAGTGCGACGTATAATTGTCCGTGAGAAAAGACTGGACTTGGCAAATATAAACCTACTTGTTTAAGCTTTGACCTTGGCTCTTGTTAATAGTCATTGCATAGCAAACTCGTACAGGAAATTGGCGTCTTTTTAGTTTAAAAGGCCATTTTGCATCTGTTGGTGTGAGACTTATTCTAGGAATAAGAACACGTTTTCCCAGATGAGTTCCAGTGTGTATTTCTGCTTCAATAATCCTCTTGCCTAGGCGAGTTATTATTAACCTTGTACCATTGCAGAGTCCTTCTCTTTGATTTATATTTGTTGTTTTTCTGCTTAGATCACAGGTTTGTTTTGTTTTTCTCTTAAACTTTCATACTTTTCATAGATAGAAAAAACTTACAACATCTCTTACACACATATATAGAGATTGCACACTTGCACACATAGTTTCTTTGCCATAACTCTAGATACTAGGATCACTTACACAAGCAACACCACTTGTGTATAGGTTCCAGCAACTCCTAACAACTCTTTACTATTCAGACCTAACAGCTTCTCTTGTTATTCTAACTTGGTACTTAGCTAACTTAAGAGTACATCAAGTCTACGAATGGGTCACAACAAAAACCATCTAGACATTTTCTGTTGGGCCAAAAACCAAATCTGCAGGCCCAAACACATCTTAACCCAAAACAACTAAACCTTGACTTCTTCTTCTACGTTTCCTTTTGTCAACCTTCGACGCTTCTTCTCTCTTTCTAGATTATGGGTTTCATCACACCAACCCACCTCTTTACTTCCTTGTTCTTCATTCCTTTCTCATTGACATCGTTCTTCTTCTTTGCAGGATCAATCGGAGAGTTCAATCTCAACAATATTCCTCAGTAGCATGATCGGTGCATTTATCTTGAGATCTAGTTTGTGATTAGGAATACCAGGAAATTTCAACGAATTTAAAAATTCTATGGGGTAAAGAATATGTTGATTTGCTACTTCTTCTTTGTCGTCACCAATGGTATCCGAGCTCAAATACTCTTTTTGCTCTCCTTTTAAGCATGATAACATGTAGTTATTCACTTCGTCGACTGTCTCATTTCTTGGAGTAAGAATTGCTCGTTCAATCAGATATTTTTTTGTCTTTGAAACTGAACTGAAAGTCCTGATATGTAGACTTTGCAATGCATTCAACAGGATCTCCGTTGTTTTGCAAGAGCAGATTGTTGTCTATTTCCACTATGCCAATTTCATCATTTGAGGTTCTGTATTTATTTGGTTTAGGTGTTGTGCCATCACCGATACATATTAGCCACTTCGCAAAATCTTTTTCCGCTTGGTCCAGCCTCATATTTTTCTCGAGAGTGAATATAGAGCAATAATTCCATAAATATGAACGGTTGATTGTTGCCATAACAGTTTCTTGTCTGGTGCCTTGTGGTATGACTGGCAGAATTTGTCTAAAATCACCACCAAGAAGCACCGTTTTTCCGCCAAAGGGTTTGCTTGCTGCATCTGGATCAGCTACTGAGAGTACATCTCTCAAACTCTTATCAAGAGCTTCAAACGCAAATCGATGGCACATAGGCGCTTCATCCCAAATGATGAGATCTGTTTTTTACTACCGTTCGACGATAGGAACGCTTTTTGTTAAGCTGATCTACTGTTATGTAATCTTTGTTAGTATGTTGAACTTGTGTCTTCATCTTTTGTTTGATGATAGCTATTCTGAAAATTTTAAAAAGAAGTAAAAAATAATTTAGTTTAAGTAACAACCAAAACCAATATGTTTGTAACACGCGAAAACATAATATTAGTTACGTAAAGTTAATGTATTGACAACGACTTGGTTAGTAAATATATAAATATAACATATGCATGATACATATTGACAAAAACTTGGAATATAACGTAGACTTAGGTTTTGTAAACAGATTAATATAACGTAGCCACGGAGGCATCATACCTATTGACAAAACAGAATGATGTTGAAGCAATGCCGTAAGCAATGGTGTTTTTTTGAAGAGATTTTGGTTTGGTGAAAAAGTAGGAGACTATCTATTTGTTTATATAGTAGTGAGTATTTAGAATAATTATTTTTTTTAGAATTGTTAATTTCCTTATAATTATCTTTTTACTTTAAATTTTTTTTTTTTTGACAATTATCTTTTTATATTTTTAAAATTAATAAAAGGAAATTATCTTTTTACATATTTCTATTCAATAAGATACATTTTTATAATAATTATCTTAATGACATTTTTAAAATTGTTTAGTTTCCTTATAATTATCTTTTTACCTTTTAAAATTTAGAATTTCTTACAATTATCTTTTTTTAGTTTTAAAATTAATAAAAGGAAATTTGCGCTTTACACATGTCAAAATCTGAGATCGTTAAAATTGCCACATGTCACGATCCTATGAGTTATTGACTTTGAAAACCATACTTTATATAATAAGATATGCTGATCTAACACTACAAAAAAGAAGGGATTTAAAGTCATTTTTCAAGTTTCCTAAACTCAGTTTTTAAATGACCCTACAATATAAAGTAATTTTTGAAAATGATACAACAAATGATGACTCTAAGTTTTTTAGAAACACTTCAAAAAGTGACTTCAAACTTAAAGTCAAAAATCAATATGGGCCATATTTTTTTAATGGGCTTTATAGTTTGTCTGAATCCATTTACTTGTCTGAAATCTAGTTATGTTTTTGTCTGAATTTCAGTTTCATTTGTGTCTTTAATTTTTGTCTGAATTAAAACTGTAAAAAAAATGAGGAACAATAACCAAAAACATTATATATTTTCATGTTCCAAAGTCAAATAGAAAACAATATTTGATCACAGTCTGATACAAGAATATCTTATTCAGCTATAAAAATAAAAACATATGATATGCTATATCTGATCATATTTCTATGCACTTCTTCTTCTAGTACCCTTGTTCTCATCCAATTTCTATGCACTTCTTCTTCTAGTACCCTTGTGAACTGAAACAAAAACATATAATGTAGTCTCAGTTTGGTTATAGACGACAACAACACTATCTATAATGTATCTCTGAAATCTACAACTTAGCTTTATACACTACCTATAACACTACTCAAATCAACACTACCTATAACACTACTCAAATCAACACTACCTATAACACTACTCATATCAAATTCCAACACAAGAGAGAGAGAGAGAGAGAGACAAGAGACAAGAGAGTTAGTACCTTACTTCAGTATCTTCCTTCAGTTTTCGATTTAACAAGAACAAAAAGAGCATCTGTCACGATTTCTAGCTTATCTTCAAGTCCTTTCAAACGGGTCTTTAGCTCCAAAATCTCAGCATTAGACGATATCACAGATTCCTGATCCAAAAGATACTTGGACGGTGTTACTCCACGTCCAACACATCGAACTCGACCTGTAGGCTCAGAACCAAACACTTGTTCAAATGCATCATATGGTCTAGACTCAGTATTGGATGCTTCATCTTGTATATTCTCAGTCATTACTTGGGAAAGCTTATCCTGCAAAAATAATGAAACAGAGATTCATAAGTTACAGAGATCATCAGGCATATAAAACAGACAAGTTACAAGTTACAGAGATCAACCATCAATCTAAAAGCAAAACTGACCATAGTGAAACAGCAAGTTACAAGTTACAAAACAGACAAGTTACAAGTTCAAAGTTACAGAGATCAACCATCAATCTAAAAGCAAAGCTGACAACTTACCACAGTGATTCTTGCTTCGTTGCTCAATAAACTTCCATCTGATCTAGTCCTTGATGCAATAAAAAGTTCAGCTCGATTTGGTTCTTTGCCTGTCTCCTCTTCCTAAATGTACAATTGCACCAAGTTAAAGAGGATTGACAGAATCATAGTAATAATTAATGCAGAATAAAGATTGACTAAACGTACCATCTCATTAGCTTTTCTTGCTAAACTCTTTTTTCCAAGTGTATGTGGCATTTTATGATTGTTTCGACTATTAATATTACGCTCTCTCACTCTCTATATTGTAACAAAGCAGTACATAGTTATTTGTATGTGATATATATAAACTATAAAGTAGTTGTGGAATAGATTTTACCTTAGCCTTATCAGTGAACTGCATTTCCACAAATTCTTTCCATTGATCTTCAGGAATTAGTCCTGGTCTTGCTTCAAATGCTTCCTCTATAGTATTTCTTCTGTACTTCATCCAAATGCGTTGTTTCAAGTCTCTGCATCTGACTCCTAATGCAGATAAAACATATTTCTTCCTCCTCCTTGGATTATCAAACCAGAACTTTTTCTGTGTTAATGTAAAAATGAACAGAAAAGATGGTGAGAGCTTATCCAAAGTAAAGTCTAATAGTTAATAGGTAATGAAAATACCTGAATCACTTTCCAAGCCATTTCTTTTCTGTAATTGGGAACTTTCCTCCAATCGGTGTAGTTAATAGGTAATATATTAAGATCATTACTCAGTGAACCTAACCACGAACCAAACAAACCTCCAGAATCTTTGATAACCTGTCCTCTTCTATTGAAATCAACCATAACCCGCCGATTTAGCAAGCCCCACACTTGAAACATGAAAAGAAGTTAAAACATGAAAAAGCTAAAGAAGAAACTAACCTATGACACGAACTCTCCATTTTCCACTAGCTAATTCTGGTCCAAGAGGAGGGGGAGCTTGAGAATCAGTCTCAGACATACTACACATATAAAGATAGAAAATAATTGTTAGAATACTTTTAAAATCATAATCATCAAGCAAAATTCAAGCAAATATAATCACCTCCATATTATCATATAAATCAGATGGAATCTGAGAACTTTCAAGATCTTCTATTTGCCTCACTAATCTAATATCAGAAACATTATCAGATATAATCATTGAACTTTGAATAGGAGGATCTTCAATGACGACTTGAGGAGGAATTTCATCTGAACTAGTAGGATCTTCCATATCATACAAGTCTCTTGGTTGGACGTGAACAACAACACTCCAATCTTTTTCTCAGAATCAGCATGCCACCTCATGTATTTAGCAGTCTTGGATGACATGAAGAAACGCTGCAAGCGTGGTTTCAGCGGAAAGTATCTAAGCACTTTAGCAGCTTGTTGCTTCTTTTTCTTCTTTTTATCCAATGTTTCATCAACTACTGTAGATGTCTTCCACCTTGAACTTTCACAGACTTTGCAAGTCTCTCTAGATGCATCATCTCCCCAAAAGAGCATGCAGTCATTAGGACAGACATGAATATTTTCATAGTTAAAGCCTAACTTTCGAATGATCTTTTTCATATCATTGAAAGATTTTGGCAACTTTGCATGCTCAAAAGCTTCTTTCAAAAGGTCGAGTATCATTGACATTCCTTTGTCACTGATTCTAGTTATACACTTGATGTGATACAACTTGAGCATGAATGATAACTTGCTAAAAGAGTGACACCCTTCATACAAAGCTTCATTGCAGTCTGCTAGCAAATCATCAAACACCTCATTTTGCTTTGAATGATCCTCCATAGTAGGCATACTAGCAGCATCATCGTTAAAACTATTACTCATACTTGGAAAAACATCTCCAAGCAGATTCATAGTCGGGTTTTCAACATGATCATCATCAGATTCATGTTCTAGTCTCACTTCTTGCTCTTGAAAATCCAGTTCTTCACCATGGAGATACCAATTTGTATACGTAGGCAGAAAACCGTGACAGACTAAATCACCCTCAATCTCAGTCCTATTCTTGTGTTTAACAAGAAAACAACGCTGACAAGGACATTTGATCATATCTGTCTTACTATAACCAAAAGCAAAATCCAAAAACTCTTTGACTCCATTTATGTAGTCTTGAGATAAACGGTGTTTTGTTATCCAAGACTTGTCCATTTTACTCTAAAAATCAAGTAAACTAATTATCAGATATGACATATTAAAGTTCTCAGCTTATAACATATAAAGTTCATTCAAAGTTAAACCAATAATTGCAACTAAGTTACAAGCCATAACCAAAACACTGTGATGATTTCCATAGAAATGAAAATCGAACACCATAAACATAGAAAAATAATTGATGAATCAATTATTACTTTCTGAGAATCTTGAAATAATTTTAGTATCATCCAATTATCGTTTTTAAGCAGCCAATGTTCATAAGTAAAAGACAAATCCGGAAACAATTTTAAGCAGCTAATGTTCATAATTTGAGAATCAGAGAAAGTTCATAAGTAAAAGAACAATTTTAAGCAGATAATATTCATAATTTGATAATCAGAGAATCCAGAAACAATTTTAAGCACCTAATGCGTTGAACTATAACGAATCGACCATAAATAAACGATTGAACGAAACAAAAGTGTTGAGCTACATCTGACTCCTAATGCGTTGAGCTATAACGAATCGACCAGAAATCTATCAATCTTAACGCATTAGATTTTGATGGAATTGAAGATCTTTGAAATCTATCAATCTTAACGGATTAGATTTTGATGGAATTGAAGATCTTTGAAATCTATCAATCTTAACGGATTAGAAATTGAAGAATTACCTCAATCAAAGAAATCAGAGAAACGAAGCTCCTCGATTTTGATGGAATTGAAGATCTTCGATTCTGATTTTGAATGATCGAATTTGGTTCTCGTGAAAGCTTTGGAGAAGAAGATCTTTGAAGATCGAATTTAATTTTGGTTCTCGTGAAAGCGTTTGGGCTATAAAAGCCCATAGATTTTAGAATTTAACATCAAATAATTAAGTCAGTTATTGAACTGACTCTAAATCCCTTATAGTTTAAGAATTTAAGGTCATTTAGTAAAATGATCCTAATAAAATGACTTTAAATCCCTTGTTTCTTGTAGTGTAAATGCTGAAAAACATTATAATCAACACATTTTAGAAAGATATTACAAAAATGTGAGTTCCATTCTTCATCAAGAAGTGTGTAAATAGGATCCTAAATTTCTTTAAGAGATATATGTCGATAGCAATTTAAAATTAAATGTAAAGATTAATCTCTTTTAATAAGAAGAGCGAACTTAAATGTAAAGATTAGTCGCTCTTAGTAAAAAGAGCGAACCTCAAAAAGAAATTTAGGATCCTATTTACTTCACTTCTTGACGAAGAATTGAAAACAAATTAAAGAAATTTAGGATCCTATTTATTTCACTTCTTGATGAAGAGTAGAACCCATAGGACTCAATATTTTATGTTGATGATAATTTATAACAAAGAGGTTTCCCAGTAGGTAGAACATTTTTAGTCTGCAAAGCGTCCCAAGGGACGCTGGAAGCTCACCTGTCAACAGGTTATCTTCGATCCACTACAAAAAATATGAGCATTGATATCTTGAATGCTTGGGGGATTTTAAGCTCACCTTCTCCTTTACCCGCCGTTATTACACTAACAGAAAAATCTTTTGATTGTTCGAATAATTACTCGATACACTTAATCGCAAAGTAGTATATTCGAGGTTGATCCACAAAGACCAATGGTACACTAAAAATTTCCGAGACTCATTCTTAGCTAAAGCGAAAGAGATTGTTTGTTTGGTTTTCAGATTTGTAAATAAAAATGCAAATAAATTAACGATTAGAATTATGAATTAAAGACATTGGGCGTTAGAGTATTTCAAAGGACAATGACTAACGGAATAATCGAAAAAAGAATTAAGTTATGAAAAACCGCTCTCAAACATGAACACGATCTAGACTAACAATCTCTCAAGACATTAGTCACTAAATTTGACTACTCGACTATTAAACTCGCATTTGTAGTTTCCTAATCAAATTCTCATTATCGAGTTGGATGATTTGGTTCACAATGCGTTCTAATATCAACTCTCGTTGGCTAGAAACACATTGTTCAATTTAATTTCGTTCAAGCATTCTATCGAACACTTTTGATGTATAAAAAACCCTATGTTTTAAAACAGGGAGATCAATCCTATTCTAGTATTGAGAACATGTAAATCGAAGCACCTATGGATAGAGAATTCCTAATGGCAAGCTATTCACTAATTAATTGACTCTTCTACTTAGAACCCTAAAACCTAATTGAAGAACTACTCACTCATTGCAAAAGAAATAAGACAAATAGAAGTAAAGGAAAACATGATTCAATTGAATATAAATGAAATAGGGTTTAGAAATCTTCTCCAAATTGTCAAAAAGATGAATCTCTAATCCCAAAGGTGATGGCTTACAAAAAAGCTCTCAATATAATTGCAGAAAGAAACGCGAATGTGAAAAATAGGTGTCTGGGTTTTTATACCTAATTACAAGAAATAAGAAATAAAACTGGTAAAGAAAAACCGAAACTGGGTGTCAGGACTGGAACGACCGATCCGGTTGGTAGACCGATTGATCCAGCATTGTGTGGAGGTGATTCTAATCCGTCAGAGGGTGTGGATCGATCAATCAACAAGTGGACCGATCGATCTGGCGTTACTGGTGTCAAACTTTGCAAGTGCTTCAAATATTCGACATGATGACCTGTCTTCATTAATTCTGGTATAACTCTTGAATGTACCGTTAGATTTCCCTCAAATTACTTGGAAAATCAAGCTAAAATCTTTATCAAGATTGTGTCAAATATTTAAAAAGTTCTAACGGTGGAAAATCCTCTATCTGAGGCCAAACGTCTGACACTTCTAAACGAATCTTCATCTCCAAATATGTGTTTATATCCCAAAACATTTTGTTTTCCTCCGAAGCAACCTAAAACCTTCAGAGACTCGATAAATGACTAAAAAAACTCTAAAAACACACTTTGACTCAATAAAAATTATAAAATAAAAACTCAATACCGATAAAAATACAACATATCAACTTTATCTAAAAAGAAGAAACAAAAAAGTTAGAGCATAAGAGAGAAAGATTTACTTAGGTTTTAGTTATGAAGACTTCGTAAGGTTCTTTAATTATGTTCCATAATGTTTTCTTGACCATTAAAATTAGGTTGAGATCAACCCAACGGTTATAAAGTGATGATACCTTTGAATCTAGTTGTTTCAGTTCATGGAGAAATCTTGTCAACAAATGTTACAAAATCCGGCACCAAATAATACTAATAAGATTCCCAATGGCTCGGGCATAAAAAAACAGAGTTTTCTCACTTTTTGTATTAGATTGTTTGTCAATAGCTAATTTAATCCTTGTAGTATCGTGAAAAAATTGACATAGATTATGTTACTCAAATTTACTTATTTTAACACAAATCTAGAAAAAAATAACTAGATTAACACCTAAATATTGTGGTTTACTAGAATAACACAATTTTTGTGTTAAAAGATCAAATATCTATTTTATTTTCAATTCTACTAAAAGAAAATAATTAACATATAATAACTAAATTAAATAGAAAAAATAGAAAAAAATACAAAACAATAAAAAAATTGAAAAAAAAAAATATATTAAACGAAAAAAAAAATACAAACAATTTTTATAAGAAATCTCTCTATTAATTACTAACCACTTGGCATTTTTAAGAGAAATAATGATCACAAAACAGAGAAAGTACTTAATTAGCTCAAAAAAAGGTAAAACATAAAACTGAACACTAAAGTGAGAGAATTCATTACAAAAAAAAACACAAATAAGTAAGTAGAGACAACTTAGTCGACTTCCTCTATCTTGGGGCCAGCACCACCTGAGGCAGGAGGAGCTTATTCCTCGTCCATTCCTCCTTGATACATCTTAGTGATGATCGGATTATAGACACTCTTGTTGAGGGAGAAATTGGGCCTTAGAAATATAAGGCCCAATCCAAGAAAGGAAGCTCATCAACGAAACAGGCCTTAAGCCCAAAAGCATCAAAACCCAGACGACCTCGCCGCCTTACGGGTCTGCCACATCACCAGACCCAAGGGTAAAACCGGTAAAAGCTGTCAGGGTACGCCCTACTCCGTAGGGTTATAAAAGCAGGACGACTAGTCCTGTCACATCTATCGAGAATCACGCTGACACGGCAAGGACACGAAGAGCTCGGCAAGGACACGAAGAGCTCGGCAAGGTTACGAAGAGCTCGGCTAGGACACGAAGAACTCGGCTAGGATACGAAGAAGCGATCTCAATCTAGAAAAGGAAAGCGACCTCAAGCTTCACTCAGCTCGGAATACGACCTACAGTTCGGCCTCATCAACGACCTAAAATCTTTAATCCGAAGTCATTCATTTCGGCTCACCTAACGCCATTCGAACTCTCGGCTCGAATTGTTTTGGGAGATTCTTTTTACTTCCCTAGAGAAACCCTATTTCGTACTTGTGTGATTCGTGCATCAACAGTTGGCGCGCCAGGTAGGGGGATAGCTCAGAGATTTCTCCAGTCAACAAAACGAGCCGGCGACAACACGATGGCAACCGATGGAAACCAGGGAACCAGCACGGGCGTCCGAGACGACAACGCATCCTCCACGGGAGGAGAGACAGTGACGCCGATCCCGCTAGGAGTACTTCCGACAAGGAAGGCTACCCATACCTCGGTAGCTATTCCCGCATCGTTACCTCAGACGCCCGAGGGGCCAGCAGAAGCAGTAAGGAACGAAACGCCCCCGGCACACCAGGAGGAAGGCGAACCAACCTCTCCCAGCAGACGACGTCCAACGAACCTCGAGGAAACCCGTGCAGAACGGCACGCTACAGCACCAACTCCCGCCGAGCCAAACCGACTGCTCCAGAACATCCTCGACCATCTAGGTCGACAGGACGCACGAACAGATGCTCGGTTCGCATCTCTGGCCGCGGCTCAAGCGTTCTCCATGGACGAGATCAACCGTCTGCAAACGAGTCGAAGTGCAAACGCGGTCTACACTCCAGAACTCCCCGGACGTCCCCAGGCAGCTCAGCCCGTCCAAACCATGGGCAGCACCAATCTGCGAGATACGGAGATCGCCGAACTAAGACGCGCTGTCCTGGAAATGAGCTCGAAAATTCAGCGTGCCACTAGCTCGGCTCCAGAACTCGACCGCGTACTCGAGGAAACTCAGCAAACCGCTTTCACCCGAAGAATCACAAGCGTTTCCGTCCGCGGATCAAAAAAAATCAAATTGGAAAGGTACAACGGAAAAGGCGACCCTAAGGAATTCCTGCAATCTTTCAGCGTCGCGATTAACCGCGCCGAGCTGACTCCAGAAAACTTCGAAGCAGGGCGGTGCCAGATCTTCATCGAACATCTCACGGGCCCGGCTCTCAACTGGTTCTCCCGCCTAAAGCCAAACACAATCAGCAGCTTCAACCAATTGTCGTCGTCTTTCCTAAAGCATTATTCACCTCTCATCGAGAACTAGACGTCCAACGCCGACCTGTGGTCCCTATCGCAAGGCCCCAAGGAATCACTCCGATCGTTCATCGATCGCTTCAAGGTGGTAGTAACCAAAATCACCATCCCTGACGAGGCCGCGATAGTAGCCCTACGCAACGCCGTCTGGTACGATTCAAAGTACAGAGACGATATCACTCTTCATGCTCCGAACACTCTCGAGGACGCACTTCATAGAGCCTCGCGGTATATCGAGCTCGAAGAGGAGCGGCTCGTTCTAGCCAAAAAGCATAATCCGCCCAAAACATCCGTAACCAAGGAGACTGCTTCGGCCATACCTAACACAGCAAACAACGCCGAGCCAAAGCAACATTCCAAAGGTAACATCGGCCAGGCACGACGAACTACGACCTTCGTCGTTAACAGCGAGACACCATCGCCAAGGCCATGGAACAAATACGTAAGGGACACCGATTCCCCGGCATCGACGTCAATATTCTGTGAATACCATAAAAGTAGAGCACACGCCACTGAGGATTGCCGGTATCTGCAAAGCTTGCTGATGGCAAGATATAAGAGCGGAAGCATCGCGATCGAGTGCGACCGCGCCCAAGGAGGTAAGAATCAAAAGCGTAACGAGGAAGTCGAGGATGCGAATGATCCCGCGAAAACCGAGGAAGTCGAGGATGCGAATGATCCCGCCAAAAGACCTCGGAATGGGAAGGCGCCAGCCGAAGCTCCAGTGGTCGTCAGACAGATCCGAATGATAATGGGCGGACTGCAAAACTGCAACGATTCTGTTCGGTCAATCAAACAACATCGTAAAAAAGCTGAAATGAAGGAAGTATGGCCGTCCACGAGCGCACCACCAACCACGCCCGTCGATGAACCCATATCGTTTACCCAATCCGACCTGGAGGGCGTCGATACACCGCATAACGATCCTCTCGTCGTCGAACTCATTATCGGCGATAGCCGAGTAACTAGGGTGCTCATCGATACTGGAAGCTCAGTCGACCTCATCTTCAAGGACGTTTTGGCTATAATGAATGTCAACGACCGGCAAATAAAACCCATATCGTGCCTGTTGGCCGGATTCGATGGTGACTTCGTAATGACAATCGGAACGATCAAGTTGCCCGTATTCGTCGGAGGAACGATCTCGTGGGTCAAGTTAGGCGTAGTTGACAAGCCCGCAGTTTACAACGTTATTTTGGGGACACCCTGGATGCATCAAATGCAGGCGATCCCGTCCACATACCACCAGTGCATCAAGTTCCCAACGCACAACGGAGTGTTCACCTTGAGAGGGAATCAACAGATCGCAAGAACATGTTTTCTCATCGAACACAAGAACCGCGTCGCTAAGAAGTTATAGCAATTAACGATGCCAGCATCGTCGACCGTTCCGACCCTAAAAAAGTCCCTTGAAGAGCCTCAACTGAGCAGGACAGAACAAGTGAATATTGACGAGACGGATAAGACAAGATGCGTCGCAATCGGGGCCGAGATAGTACCATCGGTTAAAGAACCACTCATCGCATTTCTAAAAAAGAATTCTAAAACGTTCGCCTGGAGCGTAGACGACATGATAGGCATCGACCCTATGATCGTTACGCACGAGCTTAACGTCGACTCAACCTATAAACCGGTAAAGCAGAAAAGGCGAAAATTGGGACCGGAGCGAGCCATGGCCGTAAATGACGAAGTCGACAAGCTGTTGAAGGCTGGCTCGATAACTGAGGTAAAATATCCGGAATGGCTAGCGAACCCGGTCGTTGTAAAGAAGAAGAACAGCAAATGGCATGTTTGCGTAGACTTTACCGACCTCAATAAGGCGTGCCCAAAAGATAGCTACCCGCTCCCTCACATCGACAGGATAGTCGAAGCGACCGCCGGGAACGAACTCCTGTCCTTCATGGATGCATTCTCGGGATACAATCAAATCCTCATGCACAGAGATGATTGGGAAAAGACCTCGTTCATCACAGACCGAGGAACCTATTGCTACAAGGTGATGCCATTCGGCCTCAAAAACGCCGGTGCGACGTACCAACGTTTGGTAAATAAGATGTTCGCTGATCAGCTTGGACGAACCATCGAAGTTTACATAGACGATATGCTGGTAAAATCTCTAGTAGCAGCTGACCATGTCCGACACCTAAGCCAATGCTTCGACGTGCTGAACGAATACAATATGAAATTAAACCCCGCGAAATGCACGTTCGGCGTAACATCCGGCGAGTTCCTGGGGTACATGGTCACGCAAAGGGGGATCGAGGCTAACCCAAAGCAAATTCGTGCAATCCTCGATCTGCCTTCTCCAAAGAACGCACGCGAGGTGCAGCGACTAACAGGACGGATCGCCGCTCTCAACCGCTTCATCGCCAGATCGACGGACAAGTGCTTACCCTTCTATAACCTCTTAAAAAGGAAGGACAAGTTTGCATGGGATGAGGCGAGCAAAAATGCTTTTAACGAACTCAAACAATACCTCACGACGCCCCCGGTTCTCGCTAAGCCAGAAAACGGTGAAACGCTATTTCTATACATCGCGGTATCAAGCTCGGCCGTGAGCGGTGTGCTTGTTAAAAATGACCGAGGCGACCAGAAGCCGATCTTTTACGTCAGCAAGTCCCTCATCGAAGCCGAGACACGCTATCCCACAATGGAAAAAGCTGCGCTAGCGGTCGTAACATCGGCCAGTAAATTACTTCCCTACTTTCAATCCTACACAATCGCCGTTCTCACAGACCAACCACTACGAACCGCCTTACACAGTCCGAGCCAGTCCGGGAGAATGGCTAAATGGGCAATCGAGCTCAGCGAATACGATATGGACTTCAGAACCCGACTAGCAATGAAATCGCAAGTGTTAGCCGACTTCCTTATTGAACTACCGCTCATTCCGAAAAACCTAAGCGGCAACCCCGAGCCAGGTGACCCTCAGAACGGCGTTAGGACGCTGTACGCCGACGGGTCCTCGTCATCGTATGGCTCTGGAATCGGCATACGACTGGTCTCACCAACCGGGGAAATAATCGAGCAATCGTTTCGTCTGCGCTTCACGGCAACAAATAATGTCTCCGAATATGAAGCACTCATTGCCGGTCTACGTCTCGCTCTAGGAATGAAGATCAAACGAGTCCAAGCATACGTGGACTCACAGCTCGTCGCAAATCAATTTAGCGGTGAATACGAAGCCAAAAACGACACTATGGAGGCGTACCTCAAGGTCGTCAAGAAGTTATCCTCACAGTTTACACATTTCGAACTAACAAAAATCCCGCGAGGAGATAAACGCGCCGGCTGACGCTCTCGCCGCATTAGCATCGACGTCGGAACCCGAACTACGACGTGTTATCCCGGTGGAAAGCGTAAACCGACCAAGCATCGAAGCAATCGATATTGTCAATTTCGTCGGAACAAATCACGATCCAGACGCAGCCGACCCAACCGACTGGCGGGTCGAAATACGCGATTTCCTCACCGACGGAACGGTCCCAACAGATAAATGGGCAGCACGTCGATTACGCATCAAAGCCGCAAAGTACACGACCTTGGAAAATTGCCTCCTAAAGCTCAGCGCAACCGGAGCATGGCTGAACTGCTTACACGGCGAGGATATCGCAGAAATAATGAAGGAAACACACATGGGGGCCGGCAGCAACCACTCCGGCGGACGAGCTCTCGCATTACAAATCAAAAAGCTAGGGTTCTATTGGCCGACCATGATATCGGACTGTAAGGACTTCGCGGCTAAGTGCGACCAATGTCAAAGACACGCACCCTCGATTCATTGACCAACCGAACTACTCAAGGTCGGTGCGGCACCATATCCGTTCATGAGGTGGGCCATGGATATCGTCGGCCCGCTACCGGCCTCCAGATAAAAACCGTTCATTCTAGTCATGACGGATTACTTTACTAAATGGGTGGAAGCCGAATCGTACGCGGCAATACGAGCCAAGGATGTCCAGAACTTCGTTTGGAAATATATAATATGCCGACACGGCCTTCCATACGAAATCATCACCGATAATGGCTCGCAATTTATCTCGCTGACATTCGAGAATTTCTGTGCGAGCTGGAAAATTCGTCTAAACAAGTCCACACCGAGATACCCGCAAGGCAACGGACAAGCCGAAGCCGGCCTCAAAAAATGCCTCGACGACAAAAAGGGAGTATGGGCAGACGAACTAGACGGAGTACTTTGGGCGTACCGAACTACACCCCGCAGCGCCACCACGCAAACACCATTTGCGCTAGCTTACGGCATGGAAGCAATGGCTCCAGCCAAGGTCGGATACTCAAGTCTTCGGCGTTCTATGATGGCAGTCCATCCCGACCTCAACGACCAGATGATGCTTGACAGACTCGACGAACTTGAGGAAATGCGCAACACCGCACTATGCCGAGTTCAAAACTACCAGCTTGCTGCCGCCCGATACTACAACAAGAAAGTACACAACCGCCACTTCGACGTCGGCGACCTTGTACTCAGGAAAGTCTTCGAAAATACAGCTGAACTCAGCGCCGGCAAACTAGGAGCAAACTGTGAAGGGCCGTACCAAGTCTCGAAGATAGTTCGCCCCGGCGACTACGAACTCCTCACCATGAGCGGCACCGAAGTCCCACGAACTTGGAACTCCATGCACCTCAAGCGATACTACTACTGACGACCTCACTCTCCTTATATATGTAAAAAAAAAAAAAAAAAAAAAAAAAAAAAAAAAAGGTAGCTCGGTCTTACCGATGCCTCTCTATGTAATGTGAACTACGAACGGCTTGATCTCTCCGATAAAACGACAACAACTTAAAAAAAAATGACCTCGCGGTCAGCCTTCGATATCAATGTCATCCCCGTCTTGGACAACCTGAGCTAACGGAGTAGCCACCCGTGGAGCCTCCTGGCCGTCGCCAGTCCGCTCAGCGCCTGTGGCCTCGGTCTCAAGACCACCCCCATCCTGAAGTTCGGCCCCGGTCTCACGAGCTTCAACTACGACCTCCTGCTAAGTATCCTGATCAACGGCATCTTCTTCGACCTCGTCATCTCCGACGAAGTCCTTACCACTGGCAGCCGAGGCGGCATACTGAAGGTTCTCAGTAACCTTGTTCCGGTCCGCAAAGAGGGTATAGGCGTCAAAATCGCCATCCTGAAGTTCAGTCATGTTGAAGGCCGCAAGATCAGCTCTGTACTGCGCCACGTCGGCCTCAACCCTGGAGAGCGTTTCCTCTGACTTAATGACGACCTTGCCGTCTTCCACTAGAGCTTTCAGAAAACCGAGATTCCCGACTGCCTGGTTATAAAGCAGAAGAGTGGGCTGCGCGGCACCGGTATCCTCAACATGAGCCTGTAGACGGGTGAGACGAGCCTGAAACAGCCGGGCCATCTTCGCAAGAGCTTTACCTCTACAGTACTCGCCGTACTCAGCACGACGTTCTCGCAGTCTGGCTTTTTCGGAACGGAGGATCACAGCGAGCTTGTCATACCGAGCCTTCTCTGCCTCCACTTCGGTGCTCAAACGGTCCCTCTCCGCAATCAGCCCATTCCGGTGATGATCGAGAAGGTTGACTTTCTCCCTAAGCTTCACCGCCTCGTCCTTAACAACACCCAACTCTCGCGAGACCTGATCTACCCGCTCCTTCTCCGTAGCAATGGCAGCCTGATAATCACTCGAATTTGGGTTCTCGGTCGAAAGCCGACGAACTCGGCGCTCGTAGAGATGAACCATGCGGTTCATCGCGAAAGTCGCCTGATAAAAATATATATATAAACAATCGACCGAGGAAGGGTAACAAAAATATATATATACACATATATATATATATATATATAATAATAGTAATAACCTCGCATGATTTCTTGGCCGCCTCGGTATACGCATCCCGCTACCGAAGATCCTCAATTAGAGGGAACGAGCCGGGGCCGTGACCCATCTCGCGGAACAAAGCAGCACAGGCGTCCGCATTAGATGTAAAGGGAACATCCCTATCAACATAGCGATACGACCACCGGTGGTCGGCGACCCGAGGCCTCTTCTGGGCAATCGGACGAGCTCCCGTATTAGCCGGCCTCTTCCTGCTCTGAGGCTCGACTGAGCCACTCCGGGCTCCTACGGCTCGAAGATCATCACTTGGGGGAAGGATCGCAACTCGGTCGCCTCCACCAGCCTGCTGAGTTAAACGAGCTGCGAGCATCTCGTTCTTCTTTACCCTCTCGGAGTTAGGGCTCAACGGTCGAGAACTTCCGGCCTGGAAGGCTTGACGCCCTCCCTGATCTAAGAGACTCTTCTTCAGGGCCTCCCTCATTTGTCGCTCCTCTAAACGAGATGGCTTTGCCGCGGGAGTCTCCGTGGCCGGCCTCTTCTCCTTGTAACGACTGGCGTAATCCGGGACCACACTCAGGTCGAACTTTCCCATTGCTTTACGACCTAAAATCAGAAAAATATGAGCCAAGGGAACAAAAACCCGCAGAGGCGAACGATATATGCGTTACCTGGTTTTTGAGGAGCAGAAACTTTGGAACTTTGACGAATAGGCCCTCGACGAGAAGAACCTCGGCAACCACGTGAAGGATTCCGAGAAGGGCGGCAAGCAACTTTGTTAGTAGATGGCCAGATATACGTACCCTCAGCGCGAATCTTTTCGAGATCCTTCTTGAGCTGCTCGGGAAATGGATCAAATATCGTCGGGAAACGAGCTACATAAAAAAAAAAGGATATAAGAAAATCGAAAGCAACCAAAGAAGAAGTGTGAGGGCGGAAGACGAGCTCAAGCTACCGGGTGAAATTTTCTACCCTGTATAGATCGGAATCCTAACGTCCTCAACAGATTCTGCAGAAATCCTAACAAAGAAATATCCAGCCGACCAGTCGCTAGTTTTGCTCTTGGCCTCGTCGACAAGCTTAGGAGTCGTGGATGACTGAACGTAGTGTAAGCCCGGCTTTTTCTTGCTGAGGCTCTTAATCTTGGTCACCTCCTCGTAATGAGATGAACGGACAACCACGCCGCACCTATTCGCCAGCCGAACCAGGCCTATCGCATTCCGGATGGCAGCAACAGAGAGCTGAGAAAGAGCCATCTCCCGCCTCGCTACATACTCAAGCAGGAAGCTCGGAATCGGAAATGTAAGATCGCACTCCGTAAAGAAACTCTCATAGACACAAAGGAAGCCGTCTGGAGCGGACCAAGGTCGCTCAGATAGGGTCGGGACACGAACTTCTATCGAAGATGGAGCGTCACAGTAGTGAAGAGTATACGCAAGGGTCTCGACGCTTGTCCGGCTCGGCCCCAAAAAATCGACATGGTAGGGGGTCGGCCCCGCAACGCCGAAGGGCATGTCGGCATACCCAATCTCCACTTCTGGTTCGTCAAATTTAATATCACCGATGTCCTCGTCAATCAAACGTGGAACAAAGGGGACAATCGAGGTCGCCCCAACGAGATCACGCTGAGAAGATGATTCACGACGCTTCAGTTCGGCTGCAGATGCCCATGAACCGGCGTCGGACGACCTAGATGAATTCCTCCTACGGGGGAAAGAATCAGATTCCAGGTCGTCATCGAAAGAATTCGCTCGAAATCGATCAACATTTGGTGTACGATCCAAAGAATCCGACGATGTACGAGAGCAGAGATGATTGGAAACCGACCCGCGAGAGCTAGCATCGGACGACATCATAAAAAAAAGAGAGAAGGGATGAGAGAAATCGAAATAGAGAGGAGAGGATTATACCTTTAGCAGAGGAGGAAGAATGAGAAATGAACGAGAAGGGTAGAGGTATTTATAGAATCTGAATGACGAAAAGAAGTAATCATTACACCTACGAAGTTAGACGATAATTACGACCTAAAACGGCTCCACACGCGAGAGACGCTTCGATCTCCGAACATTGGGAGCAGTATCAGCCGAATCAATCCTCGAGTCCCTCGCACGCGCGCGCGTCGTTGAAACTCGGAAATCCAAAATAGTGCGAAGAGGGGCGACCTCACACGCGCATCGGGAACAAGGAAAGCAATCATGACCCTCGCAAGAAACGATGAGTCATGATTGGGGGGCAACTGTTGAGGGAAGAATTGGGCTTTTGGGATACAAGGCCCAATTCAAGAAAGGAAGCACGCTCCAAAAAAGAGGGGTTTCGGAGAGACCCAGGCCCAGAAACGATAAAGCCCAGGCAATATCACCGCCTCATAGGCCTGCCACGTCGTCATATTCAAGGGCAGAACCGGTAAAAACCGTCAGGGTATGCCCTACCCGGCAGGGTTATAAAAGAAGGACAACCAGTCCTGTCATATCTGAAAGACCCCGAACCGGACTGCCTAAGTCCGGAGAGGTTCTCTCCGACCAAATCATTAAGTGATCTGATCCTTAGTCAAATTTTAGGGCCATTTCCTTAAGACAATCCGATTTACGATATTCTGAGATTCATTACTTAGAGTCAATATGCGATAATAGAGTAAACAAAGAATCGGATACTTTATTAGATACTTAAAAGGATTCGATACAACTTATGAGTTTGCATATAAGCTATTACAAGTCATATAATCGATCCTATTCTACCCGATTCATCACCACCTATCTTCCCGGCCTTGAGTCTCTCACGCCTAAGCCAAGTCCTTCCCACGATCACCATCCTTTCCTGAAAGTCAAAGAGGCATAAGTATCCGTTTTACTTATTATATGCAAGTCCATGCAATGCTCTCTAGGCCTTTTAACCACCCGGAACGAAGAACAGATCGGAGAGTGGAAGTATGCGCATCAGTTCGGCCGATTCACGGTAGATCTTCACAGATCCGCCGATCCTCCGCCGAGCCGCATCCCCATTTCAACCGATCCGCCATTCGAACCAAGTTTATGCATGATATGAATGATTCCCCGATACTACAATATCACCCTAATCGTTCCGGACTTCTTCTAAGTCATCGGAACAATCCCTATGCTAGATCGTACGTATCAAATCTCCTTAGGTTCGGACACAAAGTCTAGAACCATCTCACCTTCGATCGCACCGATCGTAACTCTCTCTTAAGTGTTTTCTCTCAAGATGTTCTCCGAGAGTTTCTGTATTTTTCCCTCAGTTTTTCCGTGTCTGAAATCGTCCCAAACGCCTTGTATTTATAGAGTTTCGTTCACAAACCGTTTCTCTAACCGTTCTCTAGAAGGCGCCCATTCGGTCCATAACCGCCCATTGGTAACCGTCATCCGTAACCGCCCAACCGCTCTTCCGTAACCGCCCAACCGTCCTTTCGTAACCGCCTAACCGTCCAACCGTCGGACAGTTACCCAAGCTTAGCTGAGCTATCCGGCAGCTGGTCGAGCTAGCTGAGCTACTCGAAAGTTACCCGAGCTTAGCTAAGCTACCCGGAAGTACTTCGAGCTTAGTTGAGCTATACGGGAGCTGGTTTGGCTACTTAACGTTCATTATTCTCCTTATCCGAGCTGATGGGCAGCTCCAATCTAGACTTGTCCGAGTTTCTCCTCCTTTTCTCGGACCAAGTCTCATCCGACGATCCTATTGAGGATCGCGGGCGTTACAAGTCTCCCCCCCTTGAATGGGATTCGTCCCCGAATCCGACTCAAGTTGATCTTTACCCATCTCTCTAAACCACTTAGGAAAATCAGCCATCATTTTATTTTCGGTTTCCCAAGTAGTTTCTTCGCGGCCTCCACAATCCCATAACACTTTTATCATGCTTATCTTTTTCCGCCTTGTCCCCTTTTCCATTCGATCAACGATCCGAATTGGATTTGCTTCCACCGTTAAGTTTTCTTTTAACTCCGAAGGAACATCTTCTACTCGCTCCTCGTGTTCACTTAGGCATTTCCTTAGTTGTGAAACGTGGAAAACCTTGTGAAACGCATCTAACTTCGGCGGAAGTTTGAGTTTGTATGCCACAGCCCCTACTCGTTCGATCACCTTGTATGGGCCAACGTACCTTGGACTCAACTTTTTCCTTGTTGAAAATCGTCCTTTACCCTTATACGTTACGGCCTTAAGATACACCAAGTCTCCTACTTGGAATTCCAACTCCTTACGACGCTTATCCGCATAGCTTTTCTGTCGGTCTTGTGCTTCCTTTAGTTTGATCTTTAGGAACTTCATCTTTTCGGTGGTTTCATCCATAATCTTTAGACCGAACAACATGCGTTCGCCCACTGGTGTCCAACATAGCGGTGTCCGACATGCTCGTCCGTATAACGCTTCGTAAGGTGACATACCAATACTAGCTTGATAGCTATTGTTATAGGCAAATTCCACCAACCTTAAGTACTTCTCCCAATTCCCACCCCAATCTAAGACACATGCACGCAACATGTCCTCAAGGGTTTGAATCGTCCGTTCAGATTGCCCATCCGTTTGCGGGTGGTAAGCAGTACTTAAGTTCACCCTCGTTCCTAAGGCTTTTTGAAAAGCCTTCCAGAAATGCGATGTGAACCATGTATCACGATCCGACACAATGCTTACCGGCACTCCGTGTAATCGTACTATCTCCTCGATATACCTTGCGGCTATATCTTCGGCTCCATCCGTTTCGGAAATTGCTATGAAGTGTGCGGACTTAGTCAATCTGTCCACCACCACCCAAACCGCATTGTGCTTAGACTTTATCCCCGTAGGCAACCCAGTAACAAAGTCCATTGTTACATGGTCCCATTTCCATTCGGGCATGGGTAAGTTTTGTACTAACCCACTTGGTACTTGATGTTCCGCCTTGACAAGTTGGCACGTCGAACACTTGGCAACCCATTCGGCTACATCCTTCTTCATTCCCACCCAATGGTAATACCTTTTTAGGTCTCGGTACATCTTATTGGACCCGGGGTGAATCGAGAACTTTGATTGGTGCGCTTCTTTAAGGATTTCCCCCTTCAAACCTTTGTCATTCGGCACACATACACGACCGTTCACCACTATGGTACCATTGTTCGATGTTTGGTACTCCGTTTTATTGTTCTTGCCCAAGTTTCAACTCCGCT